TATTTTATTTTATTTTATTGTATTCAACCATACTTGTTTCTTTTTTATAGCTGTTTCTCAGTTAAAAAAAAGTCTCAAACTTTAAAAGCGCAGAGTTGATCTGCCCTGAGCTCTTCTTTTTTTTTATCTTAATTTTAATTTGTATTTATTTTTACCAGTTTCTCCTCTCCAGGTTCTGTTTTGTCTCCTTTCTTTATTGCAGTTCCGTTAAACAGGTTAATAAATGAGGTCAGGAAAGGGATCTGCTCCTGTGGTGTTCATGAACAACATGTGCAGTGAGAGTAGGGAGCAGGTGGAAGAGAGTCTGTAGAGGTGGAGGTGGGCTCAGGAAACAGCTGGAAGCTGCAGGGATGAGTTTAAGTGTCTAAAGAAACAGAAAATAACACCAGAGTTCAGACTGTAAATAGATTTTTAATCTTTGATTCATCCTGAGGTGGAGTCTGGGCTGTAAGGAGTTGATGTTTGTGTGGATGTCGCCAGACTGTCTCGCAATTTTGCACAACTTACCGGTACTTGTATGTGTCTCAAGAGCTGTATTCTGACACCTGACGGCCTAAAAACCATGCTGAGAATGAATATTTGTTAAAACAGACTGGTCTAAATCTTAAAATTTGTTGTTCTGGGTAACAAAATAATGTGCGCAGCCAGTAATACAGTTCATGAAGCCCTGCAGGACTCTATGCTTCATTTGGTCCCAAACACTCAGAGTACAGTGAGACTGTTGAAAGTTCACAGATTTTCTTGCAATGTTCTCACAGCTTTGAGTCACCAACTGGTCTCCCAACATTCGCAGCTCAATCAGAAACCACCTGAAGGTGTGAGCAGGAGTATGGTTTCTCTACAGACGTGATGTTAGCATTCAGCGTGGAGACGTTCGTTACGTGTGAGGATACAGCACTTGGGCAAGGCCGTTTTAAATTTCTTAAATTTTCTAGTGTGTTTTTATCTGCAGTTCTTTATCAGTTGCTGTAATAGAACTAATACTTTTATGTTTAAGCAGGTGATTCATGACATCCTTTAATGACCTAGGTTTTCATGACATGCTGTTCATCTGCAGACAGAATGATTAAAGTCAGAACAAGGTCTGCTAACAACAGTCATTCTTAGATATCACTTGTGTTTATCTTTGTTGTGTTTTCCATTGACCTTGTATCAAATCTTGCTAAGATGACAGAATGTTAATATACTGTATATATGAGGCCTCTCGAGACACAGTGTTCAACAGTAGTGTGGAGTGACAGAGAGAAGCAGAGGCACAGAGACAGGCCAGGTTGTCTGTGTTTCCTGCTGTTGCAATAAAACTCAGCTGATCATCTCACTGAGTACCCTCATTCTTGGACAGCGTATTTCTGTCTCTGTTGTTAAATAAATAATTGCCATAACAGTTGCTTTAAAAAATGCTGATGTGTCGAGGGGCGGAGCAACATTTTTTTTTGCAAGGGGTGGTCAAGGGTTTTTTAATTTAATTAATTTTTTAAAATTTCTTTAAAACAAATTAATTATATGTACAAAGATAAAAAACAAATACAATGAAATGAAAATAAACAGAGAAGAAAAAGATCTTATATCTGCCCCTTTTTTTCCCTCAAATATAAACTTAAACAATACAAATCTTCAGCTAACATAAAATTGAAGTTTTTTTTTTTTTTTTGGGGGGGGGGGGCGCTCTGGATTGAAAATTCAAGATGGCCGCCACAGCTAATTCCAAATTATTTTAATTCAGCTGTTCGAAGAAATATTGAGCTAAAATTTTCAGTGATCAAAAAACACGCTGAATGCTAGTAGCCGAAACCATCTTTACCAAATTCCAAATGCTAATCAAAAATTCAAGATGGCCGCCACAGCTAATTCCAAATTATTTTAATTCAGCTGTTCGAAGAAATATTGAGCTAAAATTTTCAGTGATCAAAAAACACGCTGAATGCTAGTAGCCGAAACCATCTTTACCAAATTCCAAATGCTAATCAAAAATTCAAGATGGCCGCCACAGTTGACATTTAAAGGCTATTATTGAACCATTTTAAGACATTGACATGTAATTTGTTGTGGAGTCATTAAGAATGATCACCTGCTGATTGCTAATGCTAATCCCAAATTAAGCTAACCACTCATGCTAATGCTAATCTTATTCAGGGCTACAGTTCAGACACATCTGGAAATGTATAAACCATGTTATCAGAGAACAATCTTTAACAAAATCAAAATGTAAATATAAAATCCAAGATCTCCATCCACTTATGTAGTTTGGAGGTGGCACCTGGGGTGGCCAATCAGGTGTCCGGCCACCCCTTTGGCTCCGCCCCTGGATGTATCTGTTAATCCTCATCATTCAGTCTTAGTTTGATCAGACGTAATAAATTCAGTAACTTCAGATGTTCAGTTTTCACCATATTAGTCCAAATGATGGTGGATGATGTGTTGGAACCAGAGGAAGTGATATGCTGACCCCCCATCACTGATTACACAATACTCCACTAAAAAGGCTCAAACCAAACTAAACCGTCTCATTTCAGGACTAAAAATACCCACATCTGCTTTTTTTTTCTTTCACGGCTCAGGAAGCGTCCGTCAGCCGACGGGCCGGGTGACGCGAGCGCCCGGGAACGTGGACCCAGAAACCGCAGGAATACCTCACATTCCTGCAGGCGGTAGGTCAGCTCAGACCCTCACACAGCCGAGGAGCTGCACCTGAGTCCTGACAGCAGAGACACGTTTCTTTCACATGTGGTCACCTGGATCAGTTCTGGGATCCTGCAGCTTCTGACATCATCAAACTGCTTTCAGAGCAACAAAACTAAACTAAAATTACCTTTAAAATGATGCATATTTGAACTTTTATGTTGTTTCATCAACATAAGATTAACTTAGTTTAGGAAAAGAAGTGGGAAAGTTGAATTCAACAGGAATAAAATTACTTTTTTACCTGTGGGTTTTTGTCCTGTTAACATGAAAAACAGAAATATAAAATGGAGATCACAAGGTTTTTGTAATTAAGTGAAAACTTTATGTAGCATTAAACTCTAAAAGAGAAAAATAAAAGCAAAGATTTGGAGAAAACTGTAACTTTTGATAAAAAGTACAGTTTAGCTGCTTCATTTTTAACTTTTTTATTAACTTGTTTCAATAATAAAGAGAGAAAAGCAGTAAAAGAGTCTTGGATCGACTTTAAAGAGTTTATCCACAAATAAAAACCAAACATTTAAACCAAACAAACTGCAGCTCTGGAGTTAAAATGTTTCTGATTCTAATCTGAAAAACATAATAAAAAAACATTTATTTTGATTCTGTCCAGTTTTTTCATCACAGTAAAACACGTTTTAACATAAAAATCTGTTAAACTGGAAAAGAAATGTTTTTAGTTTAGCCTGG